GAACCAGCATTCAAAATCAGCTCTGCCTAAAATCTGACCTTGGGCCAGTCATCTAGGCTTTGGGAGGGGAACTAGTTCTACTACGTTACATACTGGAAGAATTGGATTGGGCGATACTGAATGTATTTTCCTGCACCAAGATTTTACACCTTATCAGTGGTATGATTTTCCAAGAATTAGTTAATTGATGACACACTGATACAGAGTGGATCTGCCGAGGGAAGACCAGCACAATCTCTTTCCTCCCTAGCATCTCCAGTGGGGAACCTTGCCATTCATTCACTGAAGTCCTGCCTCTCCCCAAATGAAGCCCGGGTTTTCTTGGTTTCCTTTGAACTATGTCTTCCTAGATGCTGTCTGTTTCACTTCTGAACCAGATTTAAGCTCTGTTCCTAAACCCTCCTGGTCGCTGAAGAAAAGAGGTTTTTTTTTCCCCTTTGTTTTTTTATTTCTTCAGGATAAAGAAAGTAGAGTAAGTTTCTTCATTCCTATGCCTCCTATCTGTGCATCTGTGTGCGCCCAGTAGGGTCAGAAACCCTCTGTGTTTCACTGGCTCTCACTTTGGCTTCTTTTGTTAACTCTTCCTTTTTTCCCCCCTCTCTCCTTTATTATGACCGCATGTGGGTTATTTTCCTCTTCTCTCTCTCTTGCTATTCATTTTCTATATCAGCCAGTTAACAAAGTCAAGTGTCTTACCCTTTATAAATTAGCTCATTTGAGATGGTTCTTCTCCAGAAAAGACATATTTGTGTGCTCACTACTAGCAAATTTAAGGACCATAAAAAGGGCCTATCCTCACTTATTTCTACACCTCAATGATCAAATAAATGTTTTATGAGTTTTTACTGTTGAGATGATTCCAGATTGGGAGTGAGGGGATGAGTGGTCAAGTTATTTGTATTTCCTTAATGAATACTAATTAAACATCTCATCTAAAATGCAAGAGTAATAAGTCTTTTTGTATAGAATGCCAGAAAAAATTGAAGTCAGTTGAAGATACCATACATCATAAAGTTTATGAGCTTTCAAAGGAGTAGAATATATCTGTTTCTGCTATGAAAACTTATTCTTAATTCTGTTCCAGTGATAATTCATAAACATGAAATTTGAAACAGAAAAGAAATTTTCTCAATAAAAATCTATTGTGACTACTTAGGACACATTCCAGACAGCACCTTGCTACACAGTGAGACCTTGAACCAGCAACATGAACTTTGCCCAGGAGCTCATGAATGCAAAATTAAAGTCTTCACTCCAAGCCTGGTAATCAGATCTGCTTTTATAGACATGTCCTAGGTAATTTTCATGCATATTAAAGTTTGAGAAACACTCCTCTAGAAAGGCTTAGTATGGTAAAAATCTAGAATAAAAAAATACATGTCGGAGTGAAAATGCAGATATGTAGGTTTTTTATTAGTAGATTTTACAAATATACAGGGAAAATTAGATTCATATTTATATTTAAAATTCAGATTTATAAAAACAGTATTTTATTTTTTAATTTTTTAAAATGTTCATTTTTAAAGAGACAGAGTGCAAGTGGGGGAGGGACAGAGAGACAGAAGAAGATACAGAATCTGAAGCAGGCCCCAGGTCTGAGCTGTCAACATAGAGCCCAACACAGGGCTCTAACTCAATGAACCATGAGATCAGGTCCTGAGCCGAAGCCTACTTTTAACTAGCTAAGCCACCCAGGTGCCCCAAAATCGCAGTATCTTAATTACAAATAATCCCAGTTGTCTCTAGGTAAAATTGAAATTCAGAGGTATAGCTATTTACAGGTTTTTGTTTGACCAATATATACGATAATAGTTTCAAGGGACATATTACAGGTCCTCATTCTTGGGAGAATGTAATATATAAGGAATTCACTGCTATGAGTTGATAAAAGCAGTATAAGTAATGTAAGTAATACTACGTACCAAAACATCCCACAGTTTAAAAGAAAGGTGCCTTATCCTAACTTCATTTGTTTCTCTTTATTGTGACCCCCACTTCTGTTAAGGGTTTTCAGAAAAGTCTTAATCACACTGTTCTTTGTGTCTCCCACCTAATTATAATCACACTATAGTATTCAGTACAGGGCTAATTGCTTCAAAATACAGTTCTGAAGCAAAGACCTCAGGTGTATAGTTAAATGTGGTGTTAATTGGATGGCAGGTGCGTTAACTTGGATGGTGGTGACAGACTCAGCTAGGAGACCTAAGGGTCATTTTAAGGATTTGCCACTCTATTTTTAAAAGGTATTATATAGTTTTTCTGTCATGGGGTCTGAAAATCAAATGAGGTCTGGGAGAAATCAAATTATGGGAGAAACCAAATTATGGTCAAATGCTAACTGTGATACTAAGTAGATTTAGCTCACTCCTTTTGTATGATAGTTTTCTGTTTACTTATGCAGCATAGCAGCCCAGTTGAGGAGTCACAGCTACTAGACTCCCCTTGGTGATACCCCCTGCCTGTTCTATCTGACCAGTCCAGATGGGGATGTTTGCATCTCCATCCTCTGTCCCCCAACCTACTATATATCTGTGTGTCCACCAATGGTCATAACCACTCCTTTATCGCAAAGTGGGTGCTTTTTGTCTGTTTCCTAATCTCACCACTTAGCACACATCCTGAGATATTTCCTACTTAATCTCCCCTACTTAAGACACAAGGGATGGTAAATTTATAGCATGGCAAAAGGAAAGTGAATCAGAAATAGAGAGAGGATTGGAAGAATCCAGAATGATGTCCTAGGCATCATAATAACTTCTTAAAGCCGACCCTTTATATCTATATATATCCAGTTAGTTCATGTAGATATACTGTCTTGTTACAGAACACAATACCACAGATAAAACAGTGTTTTCAAATACGGTTGGAAACCAAATATATATATATATAATTATATATATATAGTGAACCCTGGTGTAAATCACATGTGAGACTGTTAAAGATGCAGATTTTTGGGTCTCATTGCCAGTTATTCAGAATCAGAATCATTAAGGATGACCTTTATAAACATTTTTACAGAAGACCTTCAGGCAGTTAATATGAACAATGAACCACTAGTTACATCCTGGTATAAACAGGACACTAGTCTCATTCAATTTATTGTCAATGATGGCTAAAGCAATTCCCTGCAAGTTCCATCTCCGTCTCTAGCAAAACAAGCAAGTAAACAATAAAATTTCCACCCATTTCAGTGTGTTTTTAAAAAGTAGAATTTTTAGTATGGGAAAGATGGATGAAAATTGTATGGGCTTGTATTTTTTTTACACTCTCCATTATTGTTCAACATGAGATATCCTGAAGGACCCTTCATCAATTAAGTAAAAATATAATATGACCACTTCATAGCTACACTCTGTAAGGATGGCTGACCTAACTGAACGGTAATACAAAGGTAGGTTAATGTCTGTGCCATCATCTTTTCATAGTGTTTCATTCACACAGACATACAAGGGATAGAGATGGTAATCACTATTCTAAAAAGAACAGTTTTCTGTATTCAGATGCCATGATATATACTAAATATGGGCTGCACAGAAACCATAAATGTCAATGAGGCCACAGGAGAACATAAACAGTTGAAAGAAAATGAGAAAGATGATGAATGGGAATTCCATCTGAGTAAACAGTTGTAGATTCAATCGTTGTAACCTTTAGGGGCTAATTAGCAAGGTCCATAGGGTGAGGCAGGTTCAGGAAATGCCCCAGGATACTGAAAATATAATAAGGTTTTTCTAATTTAAAAGGCAAGACAGGTATTTAAAATAGGCTTACTGCTTTGGTTGGTCAGAAACACTATTTTGCTAATTACACTGTTGATTGTTAAAACATCATTAATAAATACTAAGTCATTTGCATAACTCATGCATTGCATATGCTAGAAAATCAGACGGTATAGAAACTATTATTTTTATTCCTTTGGTATTGTTGAGAATTTGAAGCCAATGATAGGAAGAATACATGTACTACATTAAAACTTATTAATCTCTTATGAAGTTTTGGTGTGTGTAACATAAAAACATTTTTACTAAGATCGCTAAAATGTTACTATTTTCTATAAAAAGGAAGAATGTTATAATACAGTCAATTAAGAGAAAAATCCTTTTATTACTGATATTAGGAAGATTCAAAGAGCCTGTCATTGATTATTAACTGCTAGTTAAATGATTTTTTCAAATTGATTTCAAAATTTTAGCTGCCAGAATTGAATTATGTTCTTTTGAGTCTTGGAAAGAAAAATCATAGTGGTTTTCTGAAGGTTTTTTTGACATAATTAGAAAACCATTTCTATCAATCCATGTATCATTCTTACAGGGTAGAATTGGTTGAGTTTAGGCAAAAATTTCACCTAGTAGTCATTTCCTTTATGAAATAATTACAAAAGTGTATGTTTTAGCCAAATTTATTTAGATGTATTCAAAGCAAACACTCATATGAGACAGTTATATTTCTTACCTGTGACTAAAAGTCTTATGGGAATCTGAACACCCAGTTTTGTCTTATGTCAAATGTATTATTAGCCATATAACTGCTTGTATAATCAGTACTCATACTGTGTCTCCCTCTGAGGCAAAAGTTTTCAAATGTATATTTTACCCCCTATATCTTTATGCTGCATTGGTTGATTATCTATTCTGCTACTTAACAGAATGAGTTTTCTAATCCTCAGTTGATTTGAGCTTCATTTTATCGTTATGCAAAAAGTGTTGAGGTAGCAATGCTGCCTTTGAAATGCTGCTTCAAGTCAGTAACTTTGAAATAACTCCTAAATTGTGCTTCATAACTGGGTCATAAATTTTCTTCTTTTTCTTTTCTTTGTCTAGGAATTTTTAAGATAGATGGGAATTAGAAATTAATTTGTGGGTGACTAAGCATAGATGTCAAACAAAGTTTGGAATGAGGCTATTTAGTAAAGCTTAGATGGCCACAGCTGTTTTCGCCAGCTTAATTTTCCTTGACTTAATTTTTTTATGTTCATGTATAATCTCACTCCATGTTTTCAGTAGGATCATTTTGCGAGAGTGCAGTCTCTGCTGTACCAAATGTTATTGAGGATATGAAGAAACTGGAACTCATACACACTCCTGGAGGGGATGTAAAATGATACTGCCACTTTGGACAACAGCTTGATAGTTTCATATAAAGGTAAACATATACTACCCAGCAATTTGACTCCACATGCAATAATTTACTCAACATACGAGAAAATATTTCCAAAAAGAGAGTGTGCAAGAATGGTAATAGCAGCTTTATTTATAACAATAAAAACATGTCCATCAACCAAACGTCCATCACCAAGCAAATTGAAGCAACAATAGACTGCTCCTTAGCAATAAAAAGAAACAAGCAAATGGGTAAATGAATGGAGGTATAAACATACAATGGAATTCTTCTCAGCAATACAAAGAAAAAAGAACTATTACAGGGAGGGATCTGACAGACATTATATTGAGTGACAGAAGCCAGAAACAAATAGTACATACTGTAACAGTCCATTATAGGAAGATTACAAACACTAAACTATGATATTAGAAGTTAGAATAGTAATTGCCTTTGGTGGTGGGGTTGTGGTATAGAAATGATTAAAAATGGATTGAAGGAACTTTTTGGGATGATAGAAATATTCCTTATCTTGATTGAGTCACTGGTTTGTCCAGATGTATACATTTTTAAAATACTGCATACTTAGTATCTGTGTGTTTCACTGTATATAATTTATAATGCAATATAAAGACCTATGTACATGCATAGTACCTAAATGGATGTATGGATGAATTAATTAATTAATTAAAATTATAGTCTCTGGATTCAAAAGTTTTAGATTTAAATCGTTGCTTTACAACTTCCTGGCTGTGTGACCTGGAACAAGATGCTTTATCTCTCTGTGACTTTTTTCCTTAGACAGAAGTTGATAATAATAGAGTGCTGTGAGGATGAAGCAAATTATTCTAAATAGCATAGACGAGTGCTAGGAATGTAGTAATGCTTCAGTAATCCTCAGATATGATATTGTTTTCCCTGTGACATGAAGATACCAATTTGACTATAACTCAACATCCATGTTCTGTCTCATATATACTGTTTCTTTTTAGGTAGCAGGATAATCTATGGGCCAATTACCATGGTGTGGCTTCTTGTTACACAAGCAAATTTTTTAAATTATACAAATGAAGGTGTTAAATGATCACTTGCCATTTTATTGTGTTGCTCAGTTAGCTAGGTCTGCCCACAATTAACTGTTGTAATTTCAGCTGTCAGTGTACAAAACCAAGATGTAAAGTTTACTTGAGACCACTGAAAACTTTGGCCTCAGATATTTACATTTTTTTACACTGAATTCCAAAATTCTTTGTTTAAATAAAGAGTACAGTGATGCTTAGACCCTTTGAACAGTACGGGGAAAGCCATTCGTTTTCATAATTGAAATAATAGAATTAGTAGGGGTAACCATAGCTCCAAGTTCATGTAATTCACTGAATGGAGCTTCCTTAAAAAACACCTGGAGAAAAAAAGTCAGTAATTTAAATAATCCTTCCCTAGGAGATTTCTGTTAGCAGAAAAGATCTTGAATTTCCTATTAGGAGATGAAGTACCTAAGGCATTATGGATACTTGAGCCTGTCTGACCTTAATGTCTTCTATTTAGTCCTGCATATGTGAGCAATAACCAAGTCATCCTGACATCTCCCAGGACAGCTGTAGTCACAATGAATGACTGGGGGAAAAATTATTTTCTCCCACTGACGTCTTCATTACTTTCCATGATTTCTTGCTTCTAAGGCCACTAGAAAGTCATTCCTCACATTGTTAACCCCCTAGAGAGCAGTTAGAAAAGCGATAGACTTATGTGGTAAAAATTTATATTCATTGAGTCATAGGAAAGTGTTCTTCTTTTACTAAATGCAATTTCATCAGACTCCTTGTTTAAGGCCTTGTTTATTTATATAAGTATATCTAGTTTTCTCTTATTCTGCTCAGAGGGATAGATTTCCATCTTTACTTTAAGAAAAGGTTTAGATTCTTTGATGTTTGGAATTTTTTCTTTTTTTCTTGCCCTGAAACCTTGACAATCATCGAATTTATTGATTGATTTGCTTATTGATGTATTTACCCACCTATCTACTTACTTAAATATGTATTTATTTTTATTCCAATATTGTTAACATACATTGTTATATTAGTATCAGGTATACGAGGTAACAGTGATTCCCAGTGCTAATCACATTAAGTGTACTTTTAATCCCCATCACCTATTTCACCCATCTCCCCACCGACCTCTTCTTTACCAACCACCAGTTTGTTCTCTGTATTGAAGAGTCTGTTTTTTTGTTGTTGTTTGTGTCTTTTTTTTTTTTTTTGTATTTCTGGAATTCTTGAGTCTATTTGTATCAAATCTGTTAATGCAGGTCTGATTTGAATCCCTGTTTGCATTAGTTAATACCATTCCTTTAGCTGATCATAGATTGGAGCCTGTAAAAGGGAAACAGTAGAGACTGATTTTCCATTACTTAAAAACAACATAGGGTAAGGGAAGATAATTAGCATTTTGCAGCATCCGTTTATATTAGATACTGTACTAAACACCAAGTATACTTCATTTAATTAATTTCATTTTCTACGCACTTATTACTTTAAAGAATAACAGTAAAGCCATTTTTCTTAAGTATAAAGACCAGTTGGACTTTCATAGCTCATATCCTAGAAAAACTTTTCCTGGTCTTACAAAGGAGATATAGACTCAGACCTACAGACTCATAAACTTTTAACAAGTCTACTAACTTAATCCTGCAGGCTATGATTTAACTATTAATTTGACTATGATTTAACAACTTAAATGGCAGTTCCTAAAGTCTTGATATTTGTCCACTAAGTCTGGAACTGGAGTGAATAACTTATATTTCAAGATGGAAAAAGTTTTCTACAAAAAGGCTGCCTGTGAGAACACAACTTCAGCTCTCACAACCCTTCATTAAATTAATGTATCCAAACCATACTAGACTCCAATAAGATTATATTGGTCCAAATTATCTTCCTTCACCAACTGTCAGAAATGTCAGGATTTTCCTGTAAATATTTTTGACATCCCATTGGCAGATTCCTTCTTGGATGCAAATTGAGAAGTTGGTGTGGATAATTAATTGTTCTTGCCTTCGACTGTTGGGAAGTTGTTCAAAAGGCTTTTGCTAGGGCAAAATTCATAAAGTGGCATCGAGGAGGAAATCACTATGTACTGAGAAAATGGGAGAAAAACACTCCATCTTTTGAGTAGGCTTTTAAAACCTTCATTTGAAAACTGCAGGGTAGTTTACTGCTACATCTTTATATAATTATTCAAAAACAAAATAAGAGGGGCGCCTGGGTGGCTTAGTCGGTTAAGCGTCCGACTTTCGCTCAGGTCATGATCTCGCGGTTCGTGGGTTCGAGCCCCGCGTCGGGCTCTGTGCTGACTGCCAGCTCAGAGCCTGGAGCCTGTTTCAGTCTGTGACTCCCTCTCTCTCTGACCCTCCCCTGCTCACGCTGTCTCTCTCTCTCTCTTTGTCCTAGAAATAAATAAAATATTTAAAAAAAATTTAAAAAAAAAACAAAAAACAAAAACAAAATAAGAGTCATAATTTTATGCCTTTGTGAGGAGCCTCTTAAACTGATGACCTTCCACTTAAAACAGATACAAAAGCAAAATTTCCCTTAGGTGGCATCCATATAGTTAAAACTGTAATTTGCACATCAGATTATGATTGAAGAAAACATTTTCCCCTAGAAATTGAGATTTAAAATGTTCAATTTGATAGTTGAATATTTCCTCTTTCCTGTGTTCATTCATTTTTTTGGAAATCATGAGAGAAACAGTCCTTTCCAATTCAATTTTAATTTTAGTCTTTTTTTTTTTTTATATTTTTATTTATTTCTAGGAGAGAGAGAGATAGACAGCGTGAGCAGGGGAGGGTCAGAGAGAGAGGGAGACACAGACTCTGAAACAGGCTCCAGGCTCTGAGCTGGCAGTCAGCACAGAGCCCAACGCGGGGCTCGAACCCATGAACTGCGAGATCATGACCCAAGCGAAAGTCGGACGCTCAACCGACTAAGCCACCCAGGCGCCCCTCCAATTCAATTTTAAAACTTATAATCCTGACTCACAAAATGTTTTCTATGTCCCAAATTTATACAAGTCACATGTATATGTAATGGTCTCGTTTGGTCTGTTTTGAGGGAATTCTGTGGTAATTTAAATGGGAGAGGAAATGAGGGTTTTCTTCCAAGCTCCATGGACCACTTTCTGTAGCTGCTTCACCTGCCTTGTAGTTAAGGCTGGGTTTGTGGAGCACAGAACAAAGGGCACTATGTGATGCCTGGGGTGAAGCCCGAGTGCCAAGTTTGATGGAACGGACCCAATAGCAGAAGCTAAGTGTAGAAGTACAGCCTTTGGGATACGGCCTCCATGTATATCCAGTTCTTGCTTTCAATCAGAAAACTGGGGAAAAATCATGGTTGGTACTGAAGAGTCAGCTAGCACACCATCCACCCTCTCCCCCCCTTCATAAGATCTGTTTTTAAGCTTTTGGTTCCAGTTCTAGACCTGTCAAAAGAAGGCAGGTCTCCAAAGACCTCAACTACCAGGATGGAGTTGGTACAGGAGTTCGGGAAGAGACAGGATTATAGCTAGGAACTAAAACTGAATAAAGCCCGTAAATCTCACAACAGGTTAAACGGGTCTGATTAATTATAATTATGTTAATTTTAATCATGATTGGGACCAACAGAATGACACTCTTGTTTTGTGTGGTAATTATACTCTGTGATGTATGTTTTTAGGGAGAGGGAGCAAAGGCAAACCACTGGATAGCTCTTGCTTCAGGCAGGGTTTGCAGGTCGTGGGATGGCTCCAAGCATTTCAGTGAGAGAGTTCTACCTGAGAGATGCCACAGAAGAGAAGAGTACACAGAAAGACACAGAACACAGGACACACGACTTTCAAAATCTTTAGTCTGTGATGAATCCCACCCTGGAATGGGAGGGCTTACTTTCTTAGGACTTAAGATAAAACTATCTTGAGAAACATTTCCTTAATGTTATAGCTATTGGCTACATTTTAGAGATTCGCTAAATCTCTACATGAATGGGGAATAAGCTGTGGTTCCAACAATAAACCAAGAAAAAGATGTGTTGTAAGATTTGGAGACTAGATTTTTCTTCTCTTGTAGAATCTGTGTTGCAGTCTATGGAACAGAATGGAGATGAAGAAAAGTACCCTGAGTGAAAAACACAGAGGCCTTTTTCTGCAAGCATGAATCTTAAAATTTTAAGTAAAGGAATATGGACACACTTCAATTCCAAATGATAAACACTAACTTTTAAAAAAATCATATTTCCTAATATTTATGTCCCTGGCTATTCTCAAGTTGGCTGAGCATGGCTCTGAGGAAGGAAAGTGCAAGACCATACAATGCAAATGTGCTCATGAAATTAAAACATGGTTTTATGAGTTTTTCTTTTTACCTCTCTTATGGTGTAATTTGCTACCCAAGTAAACAATTAATAGATTTACGCGACATTTAACTGGGGATAATGTAGGAAATTATTAGTTGTTCTTTCCCTTTCCAGATGGCAATTAATTGCATAACTCTGAAATGTTTTTTATAGTAATAGTTGGGACAATGGAACAACTAATTGAATGATAAAGGCTATCTCATTGACATTCAGTACTTGTATTATTGAGAGAAAGGGAGACATATCTGGTTGCTTGTGGAAAGTGCCACAAGGTATAGTACTTGGGCACAGAAACAAAGGAAAGCACTGAAAGAAGCCTGTGCAGTCGATGGGACTCAGGATCACAGGGGTCAGCTTCCATCAAATGCCTCTGGGGCAAAGACTTTCATATTTGTGCATGCCAAATGCATCTTGAATGTTCGACAACAAAAAGGAAGTGATAACAACATTAATTAATTAGATATATATGAAATCAAATACACCAGCATGAAATATTGTCAGATTTGCTTTTTTCTTTGAAGCTACCTTTTTGAAGAAACATATGTTCACATACTCAGCAAGTCCATTCCAATAGCGATTTTGGAATTCAGAGAGAAAAAAAATAAAGTAGCTCTGTTTTCATTAGGATTTGAGTGCATGTAATTTTTTGGTTTCTTGAGATTGACACTGATAGGAACTGGCTTCTTTGTTAAAACTTCATTTTTAAGATCTATAGGTATGATTCTTCTGATTATTCCCTAGAGATGTTTCTGTCATAATAAATTGTGGCATATTCATTCCAAGTGACTTTCTTTTTTCTGTGTTTCTTTTTTAAAAATATATTCCAAGTGAGTTAATTTTCTTTTAATTAGAATATACTTTAGTTTCAGGTGTAATTCCAAGTGACTTTCAATAGATACTTACTAGATAGGTATCAGATAGAGTTTAGCCTCTAGTTTAGATATAATAATAGTTATAACAATCACAATAATAGTATTATACATAATACTATATACATAACTATAGTTATGCAACAATATATAATACACATTAATCAATGTATAACAATAATAATAGCTATTTTAAGTTTTGATCCTTAGTCCAGGCCAGAGATCTTAAGTGTTTTTTTTTTTTTTTTTTAAATATAATGTCCCTTTATCCTCAAAGTAATCTTACACTATGGGAGGATTTATTTTTCCCAATTTTACAAATAAGGAAAACAAAGAAATTGAAGTAGTTAGAGATAAACTCCCTCAGTTCCTATTGAACCTCCATGACTTATCATGTCAGCACACATTCTCTTTTCTTCCATCTTGTTAAAGTAGAAAAGGCTCCCATTCTCCTATCGCACCTCATCTTCTCTTGCACTTTTTCATCTCCTAGAACCTAACCCCATCAGAATCCTTTCCCTCTTATATAGTAAATGTGATATGGGGATGACAGTTATGCTCAGCTCTTAGGGTCATTGTGAGGATCAGATTAGGATATATATGAAACAGTGTCTGAACCATAGCTAACGTTGGCTGAAGGATGAAGAAGATGAATGAGGAAGATGACCCTACTGTCTTTCCTCTGTTGGAAACTATGATCTCTATATCACTTCTTTCTTCTCTAGGATAAAGTATTGGCAAAGCAATTAACGGTAGACAAAAAAATTAAAGTACAACAGAATGTGTATGCATGCTTTGGGAATAGCTGTGGTTTTAAAGCAGCAGTGTGCTTAGTGACTTGAGAAACAGGTTTAATATTCTTTCATTGCAAAAAAAAAAAATACTATCATATACTATGTCTGTTGCAGACAATACGCCTGAGTGGGTGTTTTGTGAGCTAATATGATACCAAGGAATTATAAAAAGATTTCAGATTTCTTAATGTTGTTTTTCCTCTAGATTTGCTTCTCTATTCTCTCAAGGTTTCCTGGCCCAGGAATTCATATACTAGTTTTAGCATTTCAAGAGGAAACTGTAAAATTTCTGTTAGGGGCATTTCTCTGGGGCCACATAATTTTAATGAAGTATAAAGTAAGTTCAGTATGGCTACAACTGCCTGGAAATTTTTTCTCTCCCAGTTATTTTAAGTAATTTATTTTAAATATGTGGTATTGAACCAAATGTGCTTTTACAAAAGACTTTAACCTTTTAAGTGGCATTATTTGAAAGCTTCTTTTTTGCCCACTTTTCTAAATTGTAGGCCAAATTGTGTTTTTGTTCTATCTCCATGATTTTCTTTCTCCATTTAGTTTCTTTTTCTAAAATAAATAAATAATCCTTTTATGTGTCTAGAATACTGACACAATCCACCACTACATAATTTAATAAAACATTTTTTTTTGTTATCACTTTATTATCTGAACCCCAGATCATCAAGAGAACCAGAATCAGAGTTCAAAAAATATGTTTGGGGAGCCTGGGTGGCTCAGTTAATTGGGTGTCTGCCTTCCACTTGGGTCATGGTCTCACAGTTCGTAGGTTTGAGCCCCACGCTGGACTCACTGCTCTTGGTATGGGGCCCACTTCAGATCCTCTGTCCTCCTCTCTGTCTGCCCCTTCTCCACTCACACTATCTCTCTCAAAAGTGAATAAACTTTTTTTTTTTTTTTAAGCATGGCTGTTTGGTTGGAGAGTGTTGTACTTGAAAGAAACATGAAATCATCTAGTCCAGTCTTTTAATGTTGATAATTTTAGACTGAGGATGTAGAAGATTGATTGTCTTTTCTACAAGTAACCCAGATGGTTAGAGACCGAGTATGCTGTAATATCCAGGACCATGGGCTCCCTTCCATGCTGCCTCCCATCCAAACAGTGTGAGCTCTAGAAATGTAGGAAGTATAAAATAGATTTCCCTCGTTAAGCAAACATTCTGTAAAGCCAGTATTCTAGAAATATGCTAATGAACATTTTCTAATTAACTCATAATTAAGCATAGATTTGCCTTTAGATCTTAAAGCATCATTTAAAATACATTAGTTTGCCTTTCTACTATAATAATGATAGGGGCGATTTAACGCTTCTTTGTTATATGATCTTAACTGTTTCTGATTCATCATCTTAAACATAAATGATGACATATAACAGGAAAGTATTATTGTATAAGATAACCAAATAAATGTTTGTATTTGACTTGTATTTGAATTCCATGCAACGGAGTTAGCCAACTTAGGGTTTCTGCCTCTCAGTTTACAGGTGTGTAAAATAGAGATCATACCTGTTTTCATTTATTTATCGGATTTCTCAATGTCAAGGAGATGATCTATGTGAAGATGTTCTTTATTTTTTAAGTTTTATTTATTTATTTTGAGAGAGAGAGAGAGAGAGAGAGAGACCCCCAAGCAGGCTCCACCCTATCTACACAGAGCCTAATGTGGAACTCCATCCCATGAACCGTAAGATCATGACCTGAGCTGAAACCAAGAGTTGGATGCTAAACTGAGCCATCCAGGTGCTCTGTGAAGATGTTCTTTATATTATAAAGTATTACACAATTTCATGAT